CCTTGATTATGAAATCTGAATTGCGTGACAATCAAGGTGTAAAAAAAAAATAATATGAACGTTCTCTTCCCAAACCGTGTGAGTTCGAGAGAGCGAGACAATACTTTCAGCTTAAAAAAAATAAGTGGAGCAAAATAGTAATTGTAGCGAAGCTGTGACGAGACTAATGGAATAGCTGAGTTACAGGTGATGAAATTAGCGAAATTAGGCTTTGCTTCGAAGGACGGCATCATGATGGAAATAACACACGTTAAAAAAACAGACATATATATTAATAATATTTTGATGCTTAGCTTTGTCGCTGCTTTGTCAACTTGATCTTTACGATTCCCAGGACTTAGAAAGATCGTTCAGCATTGCTTGCATATATTCTAGTATTTTTTTTTTCGTTTCGCTCCCATAACAATCATGTGAACAAGACTTTCCCAAGTCCCAGATTCAATATTTTTGAACGCATCATATTTCTCAAACTATAACGCATAAATTATGATTGATCAAACTTTTGGGTCCTTTCTCTTGATCAACTTTTCGTTTTCTCTTCGTCAACTATTACGTACTGTGATACACTGATACAACACTTATTTTACAATCGCGTTTGTATCTAGCAATAGACAGTATTTTTAAATTGTTAATGTTGTAAATCACAAGATTTTTTGTAAATGTTCTCGAGGTGAAGGTTAGGTACACAACATCTTAAGGTTTATTGGTTTAAAAAAAATTACAAATTACAGTACAGTAACACCTTTATACAGAACTCAGTGAAGTATATATATCTACATATTAGACCGTAAGTTGGAAACCAAAATATTTAGCACAAAATGTTACTTCACTTTTCACCAGACTGATATTTTTCCCAACTATGTACACACGTTTGGTGTGATTTCAAATAAACAATGAAAGATTATTTGTTTCTTTCCAATCCTTGGCACAGTTTCTTTTCTTCTATTTGATGTTTTGATTATATCTGTTTTTTTCAATATTTTTTTTTATTATCATTATTGTGTTTAGTTCTACCATAATAAATAATTGATGGTGGTTATTGCCAGTAATATTACTGGTTATTTTCTAGTTTACAGTTATGAAAACAATTCATAAAAATATTATAGTCTAAAAATAACTATGAGCAGTAAGTTGCTTAGCATTATGTGGTAAATAATAGAATTATATTAAATAGCGATATTTTTTTATACAGATTCGAATAGGAAAAACTACACATATCTAAAGAAGAAAAAAATTACTCCAATTAGATCAATTGATAGATTGATAGATAGGTTACATAGATTCAATTCCAATAGATTGATAGATCTCTCTCTCTCTCTCTCTCTCTCTCTCTCTCTCTCTCTCTCTCTCTCTCTCTCTCTCTCTCTCTCTCTCTCTCTCTCTCTCTCTCTCTCTCTCTCTCTCTCTCTCTCTCTCTCTCTCTCTCTCTCTCTCTCTCTCTCTCTCTCTCTCTCTCTCTCTCTCTCTCTCTCTCTCTCTCTCTCTCTCTCCTCTCTCTCTCTCTCTCTCTCTCTCTCTCTCTCTTCCACGCACATAGATACACATTCAATTCCAGAACATCAAAACCCAGTCTCGTTCTCCGTTCAGGTCGGTCGAGGTCGCTCGTTGGTCGCCGTCGTCCCGTCAGTTATCTGAATATTACACGCGTGATGCTAAACCCTCAGCATCCGGACGGTCATCAAAGCAAAATCACCGCTTTTTCACAGCACTTTTAGGCAAAAGATCAACAATGGCCGCTGAATCAGCTGTGAGAACGATGCCAATCTACTACAGATCTCTCGACTTGGTTGCCAAAAAATGTCACGATGAAAAACTTTATTCTAGAGGCACAGAAAGCTTACCAGGTCCTTTCTTTCTCTGATGGCCGAAAGTTGAACCATTCTGTTGTTTGCACATCCAATAAAAATGCGTGTTCACCATGTCGGTTTCTTAGAAAAGGGTGAAAAGGTCGCGAATCTTAAGTAAATCGAGAGAAAAGGGACGATGTTCGCGACAGACCAAAACTTAATAACGAACGTGAGATTTTGTTGTTTTTGCCCGCCACTGCCTCCGATTGGTCACGTGATAGCACTGGTGATGTACATACACATATACACGCACATATACATACATACATATATATATATATATATATATATATATATATTATATATATTATATGTGTTGTGTGTGTATGTGTGTTTATAAATAAAATAAATATATATATATATATATATATATATATATTATATATATTGTGTGTGTATGTATATAATAATATATATAATATATATATATATATATATATATATATATATATAGTGTATGTTATATATAAATATATATATATATGTATATATATATATAGTTGTGTGTGTATGTGTGTGTTATATATAAATAAATAAATATATATATATGTGTATATATATATATATATATACATATATATACATATACATATATATATATTATATATATATATATATATATGTATATATGTATATATATATATGTGTATGTATGTTTATATATATATATATATATATATATATATATATATATATATATATATATATATTATGTATATATATATATATATATATATATATATATATATATATATATATATATATATATATATATATATATATATATATAATTTTTTTAAAGGTCTGTTTATCTCTCTTCCTCTTTCTATCCCTCTCTCCCTCTCTATCTTTTTATCTTTCTTTGCATGTCTACCTCTCTTTATTCCTTTGTCTTTATATATATATATATATATATATATATATATATATGTTTAAACATTCATTATGGTAGCCTCCGTCTTTAGATTCATCGACTCGGGTTCGATTCCCGGCGAAACACAGCAATATATATGTCGCTTCCTGTTCCCTAATTTTCTTCTCACAGTGACAAGGCTCGGTGGTGTAATGGTTAGCACGACGGTCTCTCACCTCGTGGACCCGGGTTCGATTCCCGGTGATGTCCCCCTTATTTTTTTCTTTCTTTTCCGGTTCTTTTTTCTTTGGCAGGGAAGGATACAATGAATGAAAAAAAATTATGATAATAATGATGATATTAATAATAAGATTGGTTAATAATAATGAAAATATGAATAATTATAGTAATGATAAAATGATAATAATGATGATTAATAATAACAACATAAACAATAATGATAATAATGAAGAAATAATGATGATAATAATAAAAATAATAACAACAGTAATAATAACAATAAACCTTATCATAATGATGATATAATGATAATTATAATAATAATTATTATTATATAATGATAACAACAATAATAATAGTAATAATAACAATAAAAATAATAATACGAGTAATGATAATGATGATGATAATAATAATAGTAATAATAATAATAATCATATTAATAATAGCAATAACGATAATAATAATGATAATGATAGTAATAATAATAATGATAATAAAAATGATAATGATAATAATAATAATGATAATAATGACAATAATGGTATTTCCTTTTAAAAAAATATAATAAAGATAATGATAACGATAATGGTGATATTTCACCCTCTCCCCCTGTTTTCCATCTCAGACACACAAGCCTCCGTGGCGTAACGGTTAGCGCGACGGTCTCTCACCTCGTGGACTCGGGTTCGATTCCCGGCGGAGGTGACCTTTATTTTTTTTTTCTTTTTTTTTATGGGGAAGGCTGCAATGAATGGCATGGAAAATAATCATTATAATAATAATTATATTAATAACAATATTGATAATGATAATAATGAAAATAGGAATAATGACGGTAATGATAAAATGATAATAATGAAAATAGGAATAATGACGGTAATGATAAAATGATAATAATGACAACAACAACAAAAATGATAATAATGAAGAAATAATTATAATAATAATAATAAGAATAGCAACAGTAATATTAACAATAATCCTAATAATGATAATATAATAACAATAATAACAATAATGATAATTATTATTATCATTATCATTGTTATTATTGTTATAATAATAACAATAATAACAATAACAATAATAGTAATAATAACAATAACATTAATAATACGAATAATGATAATGATGATAATAATAATGGTAATAGTAATAATAATGATAATAAAGATAATAGCAATAATTGCAATAATGATAATGATGATAGTAATAATATGATAATGATAATGATAATAATAATAATGATTATAATGATAACAAGAACACTAATACTAATACTACTACTACTACTACTACTACTACTACTACTACTACTACTACTAATAATAATAATAATAATAATAATAATAATAATAATAATAATAATAATAAAATAATAATAATAATACTAATAATACTAATAATACTAATAATACTAATAATACTAATACTAATAATCTAATAATAATACTAATAATACTAATAATACTAATAATACTAATATACTAATAATACTATAATACTAATATACTAATAATACTAATACTAATAATACTAATAATACTACTACTAATAATAATACTAATAATAATACTAATAATAATAATATAATATAATAATAATAATACTAATAATAATAATAATATAATAATAATAATAATAATAATAATAATAATAATAATAATAATAATAATAATAATAATAATAATAATAATAATACTAATACTAATACTAATACTAATATAAATACTACTAATACTAATACTAATACTACTAATACTAATACTAATACTAATACTAATAAATAATAATAATAATAATAATAATAATAATATATAATAATAATAATAATAATAATAATAATAATAATAATAATAATAATATAATAATAATATTAATAATAATAATAATAATAATAATAATAATAATAATAATAATAATAATAATAATAATATTAATAATAATAATAATAATAATAATAATAATATAATAATAATAATAATAAAAAAAAAAATAATAATAATAATAATAATAATATAATAATACTAATACTAATACTAATATAATATAATAAT